TCCAGCATTTTTGTGTATTTGAATCCTTTCCAACAATGACTGTATGATTCTGAGATCCATCTTTTCGCACAGAGGACAACTGAGGGACTCAAATGCAGCGATTACAGAAGGTTCTGATGCTCCATAAGGAAAAACCATGCATTAAGAGCCAGGGGCTGAAAACTTTTGAAAAGAATGGAGACGTGTACATTTTTCTTATTTTGCCTAAATATTATATTTTTTTCATTTACTACTGCCCTTCAGAGGCTACAGAAGATAGCTACATGTTTCTCAGAAGACAAAATAAGTTAAATTTACCCTGCTCTTCAAATTCAAAAAGTTTTCTCTTAATGCGTGGGTTTTCCTTCTGGAGCATCGGTACTAAATAAACAATAACATGCATTTTGTATGATCCCTTTTTTTTTAACATTGAAATAATTTTTTAATTATTGATCCCAATAATTAACCTTTTGCAGATTCTGAAAGGAGGATGCAAACTTTTGACCTCAACTGTATTTTAATCTTTAATCTCACTATAAATTTACACAACTGCATAAGATATAACTAAACAGGTAAAAAAAATACATCTACAAATATAATTTTTCCTATCAACAAAAAGAAAGGAAACACTCACACATTGTATCTCACGGCGAGTAAATATTCGGGACAGCAGGAACCTTCTGAATGGCACAGTGAGGACAAGAACAAACGGGAAGGCTAACGAGGCCGAGGTTGACATTACAGCCCACAGCACAGCCAGGCACACCAGCTGCAAACATGTGAACAGGTGCATGCGTAGAGTACGCACCTGAAATAGACAAGTCAAGGGTTAAAGCACAGCTAAATCTGAAGAGACAATTTGAGAATGGAGTTCCAGGCATACTGTCATCTGATTATTGATTTAAGACTGGTGAATATTGTGCTCTGCTGAGTTCTCAATGACAAACCTTGCGGACATAGGTGTGTTCAGGATGGTACTTCGGTGGCATAAATAGCAGCATCATGCGTTCTGTTAGCTGGATCCCATTGAGAGACATCACTCCCATATAGAGGAATATACCAAACAACACAGCGATAGGAACCTGCCGCAAAACATCTCCAATCACAATGGACAGACCTTTGGAGGAAAGAGAGTTGATCTACTGTCAGTTCAAAACAACAAATGTGACCCTGGACCACAAAACCAGTCATAAGTGTCAATTTTTCAAAACTGAGATTTGTACATCATCTGAAAGCAAAATAAATGAGCTGTATATAAGCTGATGTACCATTGATGTATGGTTTGTTAGGATAGGACAATATTTGGCTGAGATACAACTATTTGAAAATCTGGAATCTGAGGGTGCAAAAAAATCTAAATATTGAGAAAATCGCCTTTAAAGTTATCCAAATTAAGTTCTTAGCAACACATATTACTAATCAAAAATTAAGCTTTAATATATTTATGGTAGGAAATTTACAAAATATCTTCACGGAACATGATCTTTACTTAATATCCTAATGATTTTTGGCAAAAGAAAAATCTATAATTTTGACCCATACAATGTATTTTTGGATATTGCTACAAATATACCCCAGCGACTTAAGACTGGTTTTGTGGTCCAGGGTCACAAATATAAAGAAATTATAACTAATAACTCAACAAACTATTCACTGAGGGTAACATGTTAGAATTTATTTAGGGATGCAATATTAAAATGACCAATAAGCCAATAATTATTTTTATGTTACGGCTAATAACCAATATTTTGGTTACTATTTTGAATTAAAAATAAAACATCAAAAACATGGTTACCAGGTTTTCACAACAAAACCCGCCCAATTGCTACTCAAAACTAGCCCAAGACTACCCCAATTGCATTTTGAGGGGGTCCCCCGGTGAAAATCGAGTTCCATGGGGTAAAATACACGTTTTTTTGGTGAGGTTCCCCTGGTAAAATCCACATTGCAGGGGATAAATATCACTTTATTGGGGTTGCTTCAACCCGCGGCGACAGTGTTAAAGTAGCCCAATTCCACAGGAAAACCGCGGATTTGGCAACACTGATTAAAAACCTAATCTAAAAACCTATCATTTTAATGAGTATTACAAGCAAATGTAGGCATTACAAAATTGTACATTTGCTAAAGTTAAAACTTAACATGTTCAATTATTTAAATTATTATTATTACTATAAAGTATTACTAATTGTAAAGTATAAGGAAAATTATTATTAGTAAGTATTATTTTTGTTATTAAAGTATTAAAATGTGAGTATTAGATAATGGCAAGGTAATGGAGAAATGGGAGAAATAGGTACATACAAATAAAAATCTAATATCAGTTTATATATTTCCAATATTGTCTGATAACAATAAACTATATCGGCTGCTAAACACTGTGGTGCAGATATAGGCCTACTGTAGATGATATTTATCATCCATAAAATTAAGCCACTCACCTACTAGAAAAGCCACCAGAAATCCTGTTACTCTCTGCTCTTTCACTTCCTGAATGCGTGGTTTGTCACCAGGTGCAACAGCTTTGCTCATCACTGTGAGGCTATTTGCATGAGTTACAGAACGAACTGTAGCACCGGTCAACCACGGCAGCCCAAACAGCGCTGAAACACCTCCCGCGACCACGATGATCAGCAGGTCCAAGTGAAACCCTGAACCCTTAACCAGCATCCTGTCCTTCTTGCTCACAATAAGCCTGTAAAGGAAAACTGAATCAATATAAATCCAGGAATAATATAATGAAGGTTATAGGTATGGTCAGAACAAGTTAGTGAATGCCCGTGACTCACGTGGTGATTTGAGTCTCCATGAAAATTAGGATATAGACAAGCAGGGCAGGGAGAATGCTGGCAACCATCATCCAAATGGGGAACTGGCCATCAGAGCCCAGTGGGTGTATTAACCAACCACGCTTGTCAGGGCTGGTCACAGAGAAGCCATCAGGCACACTTAGTTTCTAAATGGGGAGGAAAGAAGTTTAAAGATCACAAATTGTGTGGGAGTCATGTGTCAGGTGACTTCTGGGGATATGGAGTCATTTGCTATAAAGACATGCAAATATTTCCAGTCTTTAATCAGTGAATAAGCTTAGGGTAACTTACAACGGTTAAGGTATGGTCACATTAGACAAATATCACAGGCAAAAAAGGTCCATTGTCTATTGAAGCAAAGAAGTCACTTTCAAACCAAGTTTCTTTTTGTTGGTCAGCAAAGTGAATCAACATGTGAAATCTGTGTGGGGAAATATTTCACCCTCACACAAAATACACAGTTATGTGGATTCTTATTGAAATTACTGGATATCTACAAACATTAAAGGAACAACAGTAAATGTGACCACCCTTTTACAAAAAAGTACTGAGATGATACTTAAAAAGTATTAAAATATCTTGAATTCACTTTTCAAAATGTTGGAATGTATATGTAGGGGGAAAAAAGTAGGAAATAACAGAGAGAAAAAAATGACTAAATGGCTTTTATAAATATTTGATCTTAAAGGGATAGTTCACCAAAAATGAAGATTCTGCCATCATTTGTTCACCCTCTACTTGAACACTAAAGAAGATGTTTTGAAGAATGTAGGTAACCTGCCTTTGACTTTCATAGTATTTTTTTTCCATACTATAAAAGTCAATGTCTACCATCAATTGTTTGGTTACCAGCATTCTTCAAAATATCTTCTCGTGCTCAACAGAAGAAAAAGTCAAACAGGTTTGGAACAACTTGAGGGTAAGTAAATGACAGAATTTCCATTTTTGTGTGAACTATCCTTTTAATTTTTGTTTGTTTTCTTTTTTTGTTTTAATAATTTACCTTTTTTATGCATTTTTTTTCCATTTTCAGTTCCTATAATTTCCTCTAAAGTACTTCAGAAATGTCACATGTCTAAAAAACAGTTAGACTCCAGTAATTTTGAAATGTGTCATTTAAAATTTTGCTTGATGTACAATGAATTTGGGTGTTTGAGTGGAAAATGCTAAGAGAAAACCAGTTCATAAATTATAGATTATACATGAATCAAATTATATAAACACGTCTTCATGTCTCACCTGTGTGTAAGTGTCCTTAATGCTGTAGTCCAACAGAACCATGATGAAGATTGCAATAGGAACTCCAAAATCTCCAATAGCCCTTCGGAGCTGAGCAAAAGATAAGAGACATTATCACTATGGTCAATGCCACTTTATCACACAAAGATATCTGACACTGTCATTAAAAACTTGTCCTATATGTTTATCTAGACATCATTGCGTAAATGGCACAAAACTGGGACACTGGCTTACCGTGCCAGGGAAAAAAGCGCTGTTCTTGAATTTACGCAGATAGAAGGCAATGAAGAAGGTGCCGGCCGTGAGCACCAGGGAGAGGAGAGCTGTGTTTGGCTGGTTTAGGGTTTGAGAGGCATCTGAAGACCTGCCGTCACTTGTGGGTGTTGGTAAAGCAGTGTCATTTTCTTCTCGCCCACTGCAGCTTCTGAGAGGATGATCCATGAAGATCTGCACAGCACACAAGACTGTCTGAATATATGCTGATCACATTTAAATCTTTCATAAACATACACCACTAATTAAAATTTGGGGTGATTAAGATTTTTTTAAATTAATTAATTAATACTTTTATTCAGCAAAGATGCATTAAACTGACCAAAACATTCTCAACATTGATAATAATAAAATGATTATTGAGCACCAGAGCAGCATATTTGAATGTTTTTCACACCACTACTGTTTTACTGTATTTTTGATCAACTAAATGCAGCCTTAGTGAACATAAATATCAAAATTTTTGAACAGTAGCATAAACAACAAAAACATCTCAATACTTTGCCCAGCTTGAAGAAGGTCTCGTAGATGAAGATGAGAGAGATAAGGAAGGAGAAGATCTCTTGGGTGAAGCGTGACACAAATCGCACCAGGAAGCTCCCTTCAAAGGCCACCGTGAGAACTACAATGATGATCAACCAGATTCCAATCCACAAACGTCCTGTCAGATACTCGATTTCACTGGACCTACAGAACTGCAAACACATTGATTCATATTCAGTTTTCCTGCTATATTATTCCAGTCAAACAGTTTACATTTTAGTTGTGGGGTGAATTCACTAAACAGTCTTGCAAGAAAAAAATTCAGTCTTCTTCACAAACCCAGGTTCTAAATGCATTGCAGTAGCACAGAAAAGTATTTGAATTTATTATATACACTGTGATTTTCAGTTCAAAGACGCCTTTATATTCAAATTATGCTCAATATAGAATGTGCTTTATTCTCAAAAATCAGCGCTATTTGCATGCATTTTGTAAATTAAATAAACTACACTATTAGCAGGCACAATTTTAGTTTCTTAGTGAATCGTAGTATTTGTATTCATTTATCAGAAATACTAACTGAATAGAAGGACTCTTCAAACACTAGAAGGGGTCCAGAGAAGCCCACCACCAGCAGAGGTTGAGCCCCAAGCAGACAGAACAACATTCCCTGCATGGCAGTGGAAATAATCAGCTCGGACACACCTATCAAACCGTCTGTCTTTTCACCTGGGGAGGAGAGAACGGATTTCATTAGGCAAAAGTTCCTTGTTTTAGATGCATCATTAAAACAGTGGCTTATATAGTAAAAAGAAGAGCTCTGACTAACCCAAAAGTCCTCCAAAGGTGATGGCAGGAGAAAGGGCAGCAAAGTAAATGAAAATGACTGTGGCCATGCATTGAGGACTTAGGGCATCTTTAAAATCACTGATGTATTTGGGGTAGCGGCGCCGTGCATCTCGGATAACCCCGCCAAACAGCCGACCCGTCCTCCGAAGAGGATCGTCTTCAGGTTTGAGAGGAGGATGAAGAGCTGAAAACATTAAGAACGAATTAAAAAGGTAATTCAATACATTTATTTTGAATAAACAGTAAACTGATCTGTTCACTTTTGTATGCTGTATATGAGCGAGAGCCTTGTACCAATGTCCTCGGGGCTCTTGGGTTCTTTGGCCTGTAGTTTGACCTCTTGTTCATGTCTCTTGTGCAGTATCTCTTTTTGGAAGCGAGCGATAGAATGCAGCAGCTCATCTCCTCCAACCTCAGATGGAGGAAGCACAATACTGCAGTCCAGGAAGCTGTTGATGGCTGTCAGCAGGTCCTGCCGCTCATCTGCCAAATACGCCACTTCATGGAAGTGCTGGAAGAGACGTTTGAAATGCTGTTTATACTTCTGGCAATGCGGCAAAACAAATGCATAAAGATATGTTTTCAAAGTCTTGCAGTAAAATTACCTTGTTTCAATGGTTTTTAGATATTTATACACTACCATTCAAAAGTTTTTTTTTTTTTAAGAAGTTTCTTATGTTCACCAAGACTGCAGTTATTTGATCAACAATAAAGAATAAACAGCAATATTATGAAGTATGTGACCCTGGACCACAAAACCAGTTATATGTAGCACTGGTAAATTTGTAGCAATAGCCAACAATACATTGTATGGGTCAAAATGATACATTTTGATTTTATGCCAAAAAAAATCATTAGGATATTAAGTAAAGATCATGTTCCATGAAGATATTTTGACAACTTCCTACTGTATACCAAAACTTTGTTTTTGATTAGTAATATGCATTGCTAAGGACTTCAACTTATTCATTTGGACAACAGATTTTTTTGCACCCTCAGATTCCAGATTTTCAAATAGCTGTATCCAAATATTGTCCTATTCTGATGAACCATACATCAATGGAAAGCTTATTTATTCAGCTTTCAGATGATGTATAAATCTAAATTTCACAATTGTGTCACAATTATGAGCAGTTTTGTGGTCCAGGGTCACATACTCTATTATTACAATTTCTAATAACTGTTTTCTATTTTAATATACTTTAAAATGTAACTTAATCCTGTGATGCAACACTGAATTTTCAGCATCATTACTCCAGTCTTCAGTGTCACATGATCCTTCAGAAATCATTCTAATATGCTGATTTGGTGCTCAAGAAACATTTTTTATTATCAGTGCTGCTGTGTTGAATTTTTAAAGTACTCTTTGACATATAGAAAGTTCAGCAGTATTTATTTAAAACAGAATCTTTTGTAACATTATACATGTCTTTACTGTTACTTTTGATCAATTTAATGTTTCCTTACTCAATTTTTCTTCCAAAAACAAACATTTTACTCACTTCAAATCTTTGAACGGTAGTCTATATATCATAATATGACAGAATATAGATTTTGGGTGCACTATCTCTTATTCAATGAGACCTACTTTATCAGACATAAGTGTTGATATGGAGCGGCCGATTTGGTGGTAGTCAATGTTGGCATTGGGAGGGCCGAGCAACACGAAAAGAAAGCGCACTGGAATCGGCACTTCTAGAACTGACTCTAACAGAACCGCTTCCTGCAGTCTCACAAAGGCCATGGTCGGCTGGTCCAGGAAATCCACACTACCTGTGAAAATCGAGATCATCTGCATCATGGCTTCAACAGATGTAACGTGTCATGTGCTGACTGTTGTGAGTTAAATACGGACAGTTAACTGACCCACAAGGACAACGGTTGCTTCTGCATCCTCTGGAATCTTCTCAAGCAGCTTCAGCTCATGTTTAGATTTGGTCTTGTGCAAACCAAAAAACTGGGGTGTGTCTTTCTATGGAAACAGAGAGGGAAAGTTCTAATTGTCTATTTTACCATTCTTTGCCTCTTAAAAACGCACACAGACTTTAATGCACACAGCACCTCATTCCTATCTGAGTCGACACTAATCCGTGACTCAAAGTTACGTAGTCCTCCGATGAGCGGGTCTGTGGCAGGGGGCTCCGGTGCGGCGATATGGTTACTGCTATGGTAATGAGATATGAGAGAGCCAAGGCTGGTTGCTGAGATGTTCCGTTTAAATAAGCTGTGCTCCTTGCCGTCACTCGGATGACTGACAAACAAAAGAACAACAAAGCAGGAAGTTCAGCTGCATGATCCAAATGAGTAAGGTGTTCTTTAATAGGCAAGTAACTTGACTGATCTTTTTTGAGATGTGCAGTGGTGAAACTAACCTGTGTTTGAGGAGCAGGGCTCGGAGCACATTGGCTCTGTCCTGTGCTCTGATTTGATCTGAGATAATCATCTGCTCCACAACCTGATGAGCAATACCAGGCAGCGTCTTCTGGTCCAGATCCAACAACACTGCACCTGTAAAATGACCACCAATACATCAGACACACCAAAAAGCATTTTAAATGTGTAAAAAATCAGAGTCATTTAAACTAAAGTTAGCAATCAATTCACACATTGTATTTGTATTCCTCTCTCACCATGTGAAATGGTCTTGCGGAGCTCCAGCAGGCTGCGGAATGAGAGAGAAGCTACATGAGGTTTGCCCCAGCGCTCCGTCTCCTCCTCCACATCCTCCTCAAACTTTATCCAACGAGCGGTTTCCTTCCAGTGCATCTCCTGGTTCTTATCCATCAGTAACTCATTCAGCTCGACAAACACCTGAGAGAACACATACGTTTATTATTTATGCAATCTTTCTTTCAAAGTTGTACATTTTTAGATCCAGTACAAGTCATTTGATGGAAAGCCGTCTGTTTATGCTAGAAGGAATTATGAGTTCATGGAGTCAGATTAGGTTCAGTAAACATTCTTTCTATAAAATATAAAAGGCAAAAGAGTTTACAGCACCTCACAACCTTACGGGGGGAAAAAATTCATTGCAGGCAATGCTAAACACTTCATTTGAGGAAGCAGACAAGATTCAAATTAGTCTACATTTCATTGTGGATTATACCTGTAGTTTTTGTTTTTTCTTTCAGTCAAGGCATCCAAAAATATCTGGAAAAAAAACCTAATTTATTGTGTTTAAGTTGATGATGTCAGTAGAGCTGTTCAGTTATCTTAAAACTAATGTTAAGCATTTGAAGTTCTCTGAGACATTTCTAATAGATTGTTAGAAAAGAGGTTTTTGTTTATTTATGAGTAACATCACCACTTGAAGAGACTTTAAATTGTCAAATGTGAATCCTAAATGTATTATGTGCTTTAAAAATGCCAATATGCCATAATAGATATAAGCTACACAGCCATTCAAAAAAGTTTGGGGTTGATAAGATTTTTTTAAGTTTTTGAAATAAGTTTAAGCACATCAGTTAAATCACATCAGTTGTGCTGCTTAATATTTTTGTGGAAACTATGATATTTTTCCGGATCTTTGATGAATAGAAAGTTTAAAAGAACAGCATTTATTTTAAACAGAAATCTTTTGTAACATTATAATGTCTTTAACTCTCCCTTTTGGTCAATTCAGTGTGTCCTTAAGTTCTAAAAGTGTTCATTTCTTTTGGAAACAAATCTATAATTGCCACTTGATTCGGCAATCACGTAAACTCTTATCCTTTACATTAAATGTTAAAGTCTCTTTAAGTAATGTTACAAAAATTTAAATGTTAGTAATGTTAACATACCTATTCTACTCATAAATCAAAAAGTGGCATTCTATAATGACTGAACAGCTCTACACAAGTGCAATTCTACCAGCTTAGTTCTACACAGTTCTGATACTGTGACCATCCACTGCCTTCCACAAAACCACTGGTACAGATGTATTAGCAAACAAGTGGTGAGTAAAAAACCACACGCAAGCTTCAGCTGTTCCACAAAGCAATCATACCAGCTCTGTGTCACCCTACCTTCAGCTGTCGGGCCTGACGAACCCTGTAGTCCATGTAACAGGGCCATGATCTCCTCTAATAAACAACAGCAGGCTCAGTGAGCCAATGGCAGTGATACCCCAGCTTTGTACAGCATGCAAACTAAATCTAAATATTTTACTGTATTGTCTCATCAAGTATAAGAAAGCATTACAGCTAAAGTATGCAATTTGCTTGATACTGAAACGTTATTAAGTTGATTTCCTGAAAACTTTGTTCTTTTTATTTGTGCATTTTGATAAGCCAAACACAGCAATATCGACTCTGCTAATCGTGCGAGTTTGGGGTGGGGCTATTTGGGAAATAATCTTTGAAGATTTTAATAATCCTATTTTTTACAATTGTGTTATTAAGGTGATACTGAAGACATAATATGCATGTTTTATTAGCTACACCAAACACCCACCCAAGCCTAGGAAATAGCTCCAAATGGACAGGGGAAAGATAATCTAGTTAGGTGGCATCTCACCTCATGTGGGGTTCGATCCAACTTGGTCCGGATACGACTGCTGGGCTCTTTGTAGTCCTTGCCGATGTGAACCACCTGACCTTTAGCGCTTTTCTTAACCAGGTGCCGCCGCACACCAGGGACATCTTCAAACCTGTGACCTGCAAGAAAGACACCAAGACGATGCTGAAATACTAAACCAAGAGTTAAAAAACAACAAGCAAGTCAGAACAACACTGAATCCATTGTAACACACCAGAAGGTCTGCAAGTATCAGTAACTCAGGTGCTTACCTAACCCTGACAATACTGGCTACATTACACACAATACTCAGCATCCAAACACAGAAACACACTGAAAACTCAACTGGGCGCTCACTAGAACGTGACTCAGTTTTGTGTCTCAAAGTGATCTATTGTTCAGTCAAAATTATCTGTATTTACAGCACACACGCATACAAAAGAGACGTCAAAGGCACAGTTGCAGTGGGCAGCTCTGCACTCTTTGAGAATGTCCACATTCCTGAACCACAGCCATAGATGATTAGATGTACAGACTGAAAACATGATTTATTCTCAGAAGAATGAGAACAGAAAGGTAAATAAAGGAGTCCTTTACAAAACAAACAACAGGAAAACAAACACATTTTCCAGCACTGAAAACACATTATTGGAATGGATTGATACAATACATATTATATATATGATGGAAAATGAAAAATCTTTTTCATTAAGAACTCAGATGGAAGATTTTTTGTCTAATTAGGAATAAATGGATAGATTATATTAAACTGGTACGCCCAGATTTTTCTTGAATTGAAACAGTTTTTTAAGGCAACATTTTGTATGAGTTCTAAGGAATAGCTTCCCATGTTCTGTTATATATATTTGCTGTTAAGAGGAAGAAAATATAATGATTATGTAACAATGTGAAATCTGTTTTCACGATTTTACGGTAATAACAATCTCCATAGCATTAACGTGTATGCATGTATTTTCATTTATGTATTCATTTATTTATTTATTTTTCTCTCTCTGAGAAATTATGTATGTCCTGATCTTTGTATGTATTTTCCCTCTGGAAAGGAAAAAAAACACATTATTGATGATCTATGATCAGCTGAAATGCCCAATACTCACTGAAAAACCACCAATCTCACTAATAACTAATATACTGCTGCACTATATCATAGGAGGTACTTAAATAGGATTTATGGGTACTTGGAAAATTCTGAATTTGCTCTGTTAAACATATTAAACAGAATTCATAATTTAAAAACAAAAAATATTTAAAAGACTATCAATTAATTAAAATTATTAATTGAAATTGAAGTGTTAACACATTCAGTACGGGAAAAAAAGTTGCACCAATATGTGTAGATATGCATACAGTATATCACCTAACTGATAAATTAGTAAATATATTATTAATAAATATTAGATAACATTGTATCATTGATTGTATTATTATATATCATTGATTATGTATATATAATTTTTTAGAATGTACATTCAATTTTTATTTAATTATAATGATCATCCTCATTTAAAAAAATACTATTTGTAAAAAACTGAAAAGAATGTATCAGCATATTAAAAATGATTTCTGAAGGATCATGTGACACTGAAGACTGGAGTAATGGCTGCTGAAAATTCAGCTTTGTCACCACAGGAATAAATTACATTTTAAAATATATTAAAAACAGAAAACTGCTATTTGACATTGTAATAGTATTTTACAATATTACTGTTTTTACTGTATTAAATAAATGCAACCTTGGTGAGCAAATAAGAGACTTCTTTCAAAAACATTAAACAAACCTTACAGACAACAAACTTTTGAAAGTACGATAAATATTCAAACTCTTCACTGGTCTTACGTTGACAAATAAATTTTTTGTCACATTTTACACAAACACACATACTCACTTTTAATGCCATCCAGGTCAACGGTGGCGAGCGTCTGTGCCTCGCTCTCATTTAATTTAGTCATTTATAATATGAAGAATGTTTTTAAGGCTATAGACCAAATGCATCAGTAGTAAAGCTCTCACACTCAAAGTCCTCCTCATTAAAGGTGCGGTGTTGTTCGATGGGCACGCGCTGGGGGGGTGTGAGGATCTGCTGGAAGCGCTGCACTCCCAGTGTCTTGTTCAAGTCCCCTTCATCATCATCATCACATCGCTGGGGCGGAGAATGCACTGCAACAGGCTACATGTAACCAGAGAGAAAAACATTATATTAACTTTCATTTCTTTTCAAATAGCCTAAGTAGATATCATAGCAGATGTTATGCAAGAAAGAGAGTCATTCAGACATGCAATCTCAGGTTCTTATTTGTACATCATAGACAAGGCGAATTCCATAACAGATGCATAAGACAAATTATAAAAAGTGATTTAACATTTATTTAAAATTAATTAAACACAAATAAGGAGAAAAGAATATATAAATAAGATGATTTTTGTATAAATCTTATATAAATAAATCTAATACATGAAATCTCCCACAATAAAAGTGCCTTTTTCACTGAAAGATAATTCAAGCTACTTGTTCCATACTTATAAATACTGTAATCATGCATACAAAGGCACAATGAAAAAAAAGAAAAGAAAAAAAGAAAAAAAAAAGGTTGTTTTGCCTGGTTAGCCCCGTTGGTATATGCTGGAACTACTCCATCTGACTCAAAAAAGCCTCTTTCTCCAATGACAGTCATTCAAAATTAGCTGTGCATTATGACAAAATACATCTTATAAAAAATGTAATGTAATTTATATTTTACAGTTTGCCTTCACCCAATCAGCACTGTCATGCAATTTTCCTGCATCAGCTGATTAATCAATCACCTGGCATTTACAGCTCAGCTGATTGGCTAAAATAACATTTGGACGCAGAATTGAACGCTTATGCTGCTCATAGCAGATTTCAAATCACAAACTTCCAGGAGTCAACTTTCAATGGAATGATTGTGAATGCTCTAGGTATTACATTGTTGACCTCCTTCATAGTAAATTAATGACATATCTGTATATATTTATGGATGGTATCTCTCTCTCTACACTCATTTTCTCATTCCGTCTCTTCTCCCCCGCTGTCTGTGGTATGCTATCCTGAGGCTAAACTGAGGCTTGTGGTCATGTGCTTCATTTAATTCTGTGTTTTGACAGAGGGGCCCTGCTCCAGGTAAAACTAACATGCCCACAGATACCAAACTCTGGCACGCACATGCTCAATCAAGACGCAGCATCCTGTAGCTCATCCCACCAGAGCCACAGAGAGTGAGTCAGCACTCCTACAGTCACTCACAGAGTTGCTCCAGTAGATCATGACTAAAGTCAGCCAGCGATGCTGAATGCGTCAAGGAGCCTTGTGAAGCTGTTGGACCATGGATGTCTCACTACTTAGGCTTGTTAAGAAGCCTGGTATGATACACACATACCAAACTGCCAATAAGGTGGACCAAAAAACATAATGTGTAGTAGTGACCAGTTGCTCTTGTCAACCGTTGAGACAATCAAGACACTGAAAGGTCTTCTGACTGCAGTGTATAGCCATGGCAGCCACATGCTAGGCAGCCCTCAAGAAAAGGAAGCAGAGGATGTGTTATCAAGTATAGAGCTGATTCTTTGCAGCAGGATCTAATCAGACACTTATCTACACCCCCAGCCTCTGACATCATCGGCCATATCTATACACATCCTGATCCCTTACACGCATAGTCATCTTCCTATTTACAGAACTTTCACTTCTTAACAGTGTTGGGGAAAGTTGCTTTTAAAAGTAACGCATTACAATATTGCGTTACTCCATTAAAAAAGTAACTAATTACGTTACTTAGTTACTTTTTATGGAAAGTAATGCCTTACGTTACTTTTGCGTTACTTTTTAAATCTGGACAGGGCTTGCTTGTTTGTTTTAAAAAATAAAAAGTTATATTTTTGGCAAATATAAAAGCCTTTTCACACCAAAAGTGAAATGAATAAGCCTCAGGCTGAAGGGAAAGTAAATTTACATCCGTACAGTAGAATGCAGAAGAAGAAATTTCAACACACTTCAGCAATAAAAAAAGTAATTTTTGCTTATTAGTATGGTTGAACTGGATCATCGAAGGTCAGAAGCAAAGACATTGGTTACTAGAATGGGATTAAACACATAAAGGATATTTGTGTTGTTTAACATTTAATTATTGCAGGTTTGCGTCATATTCTGAGTTGCATTATGTTTATTCATTTTGAGGAATACTGAATCTGTGTGGGTTTTTTTGTTTGTTTGTTTTTTGTGAGTGAGATGAATTAATGCATATTTATATTTATTTTAGAACTACAGTAACATCTTCTGATTTCTCTCAACATGGGTACAGGAGAGCTGTCAATCAATAAATTGGACAAACTTATTTTTAAGCTCTGTTTTTAAGTTGTGATCCAAATGTACAAGAGGGATCAAACAGATGGCAACTTTTCTGATTGGCTGTTTTTATTGTGTCGCATCACACGCTTTATGACAGACAACTGCTTGTTGCAACAACCTAGTTAGGATATTGTAGACATAATTCTTATCCCATCAAGGGCACCAAGTTGGGACAGTTATTGGTGCCCCCAGGTGCATGAGGCCCCTATAAACACACACACACACACACACACACACACACACATTCCACCTCCTCAAATCCATCTGTCTCTGATTTGCCTCCATTATCTACACCTGGCTCGAATATTTCTGATATAACTCAAAGCTTTGTGTTCCTGAATACTGAATCCTCTACACGGGGATACGTTTTTTTTGTTTTTTTTCAAAGGATGAAATGTGATGCTCTTGTCACCTCACCTTCCTCCCTCCAGCCACACAGTGAGCGACTCGTATTAACTTACACTTTCCCACAGAAGTGTCATTGCCTCTGTGAGATCTGAAAATGATTTTAATATGGGGAACAATGCTCAGACTGAATGAGCAGAGATCCTGCAGAATTACACAATCGTTTTACCAGACAGAAAATTACTTCACAGTGAACCCGCTGATGACCTTATTTAGCTCTTTTATCTCATCACAAAAAAACCCAGATCTTCTGCATAATCTCATATTTAAAACACCATCATGTAATCAGGTATTAAAATTATGCTTCAGGATGTTCTGTTTGCTCCACCCGCTCTGAAGTAATATTTATTACAAGAGACATTTCCTGTGACAATGTCCACTTTATGTATGATATGATATAATAAACTGATATCATACCTAAACATACAGGGTGTTTCTTCACTAACAGAATGTGACTGCTTTAATGAGTAATTTTGTCTTGTTTTACATTTAAAAATATCTAAACATCCTTAAAAACAAGACCTTATTACATGCATAAGATATTAAGACCTGTTTTTCGTTGTTTGTTTGTTTTACAAAATATAACCTGAATTACCACACTGGCAAATATTTATTTAATTAATTTTAATACATTTTGATCATTTTTTTAAATGTAATACATTTTATTGACTATACTTCACTTATTAATGATTAAACATTATTTCTATATTTTATGTACTCATGTATATACTTGGAAGTAAATAATTGTTTTTTCAATAAATGGTTTTATTAATTTAAATTTAAATTAATTTAAATTATATTATTTAAAAACATAAACTAGGTTTATGCTTAAAGGAATAGTTTACCCAAAAATGCAAATTTAGTCATCATTTATTCACCCTCATGTCGTTCCAAACCTGTATGAGATTCTGTCTTATGTTGAGCACAAAAGAAGATATTTTGAAGAATTTTGAGAAACCAAACAGTTGTTGGTCCCCATTGACTTCCATAGTGGGTAAATAAATATTATGGAAGTCAATGGGAACCATCAACTGTTTGATTACCAGCATTCTTTAAAATATTTGTTTTTATGTTCAGCATAGGAAAGAACCTCAGACAGGTTTGGAACAACATGAGGGTAAGTAAATGATAACCATATTGTCATTTTTGGGTGAACTATTCCTTTGAAAAGAAAAAAACAATGGGGTAAAAAAGTTGATGTTTAGCTATTTTTACCGAAAAACAAGACAATGTGTGACTTGTTTAAGTTGAAAGACATTTAAAGTTATAACTACTGTCTGGTGCCATAACTAGATGCTTAACAATCATCTACTGTTCAAATGATTACTTAAGGTTCTATTATGTAACAATGTTATTCACACTGCAGAATCATCAATAAGAGCTTTTATCAATACAAGCTTAGTTGGCAGGAGGTTTTATTTCTTGATTGTTACCCCTGAGAGCCTCTGTTCCATTCATGAGTGTAAGAAGCAAGTCCATCAAGCCATGCATGGCTCTTTGAGGAGCAGAAAACCACCCAGATGAAGGCTAATTGAAACACTACAGTTTTCCAGGGACATATTTAAAAACCAGACACAATTTGCACAGCACGTCGTTATCACTGCTGTATAATGGCACAACATGTTCCTCAGAAGTAAACGGATTTCTCTGGGTATGGCACATTAGGTGGCTCTGTCCCCATGGTTACACAAATTGTTTTTAAATCTTATTCTGGTGAATCAGACCTCTAGATCAATGGCAATTGAGAGCAGACCAGAATTTAATGATGTTCCTAAACACATATACCACACAAACACACACAACAATCACCCACTGCTGAAAATAAACCAAACATGTACCCCTAACCATAGATAACACTTTGGCAGCTATTTATGCCACTAGTTCCTCTGTGTGCCAAAGAAAACACTAAGCTGCACAACATCGGAGAGCCAACTGTATTTTCAGTGGATGCGTGAAAGTGTACTACCAAATATACCGCGATATACAAAACCTCACAACTACAAAACGTCTTTACATTGAGTTGTATCGACATACAACAGACCAAAATGACTCTTATGAACCGATTCTTTTTAAATAATCACAAACACAGCGCAACCAGTGTAGTCCAATTCTCAAACAGAATGACTCATATGTTCTGGTTCTTTAATAAATTACAGTTTGAATCAGTACAGAACACTGCCCTGTATAATTTGCAACACGTATATTGTGTTAAAAAAGTAAACAGGGTCACGGTCTCACTCACTTTACTAATATTTTGTGTTTAATAGAAAAGCAGTGGATGAATACTGATGAAACTAGCCTTAGATGTACTGTATAGGCAAAACATATTCCAGCTTAATCATCTTCATAGCCTAAAAAATTTTTAAATTAAAGATTACTTACCAAATGCTTCGTCAAGCCTGCGGCTGAAGTGACGTCACTGGCATCCTGAGGGTCACTCATTGCTTATGGTCAGGTTTGTGTGTGGTACTGTAAAGTGCGCTGGCTTTAGCCCTTTTCTCTTTCATTCAGACTCAACTGGGAACTTTCGGGCAGCATAACCTGAGGTGACACATGGAAAAAGAAAACATCTGCTTGGTTAAAAGTTCTCAGACAGATCAATTTACAATATATTAGAGACAACCTTTATTTTTTCCCCACTGAGCTTCTGTTTTTTTTTTGTTGTTTTTTTTGAGAAATGCAGCACTGAGAAAGCTCTCGACTTTAAAGAGACTTTAATGACCATTTGAAGCCTTTCCATTAATGGCTTTAAAGCCCTAAGTAAAGATCCATATAGTTAAATAGTAACATAAATGATACATTCTGTGAATAGCAGTAAATATATATTGCTGGAAGTCTTTCAAGGACCCAATAGATGGAACAATTTTTCTTCCATGTCATTTCACTTGATTATTATGAGAGAAAATTACCAAATAACTTGTACTCATAAAAACGATTGCAACATCACATATATGCACATTTTCAAGTTTAAAAATAAATTCTGAAGAGAAAAATAAATCACATTTCCCTAAGAGGCTTTTTTCATGTCCTTGTAAAACCAAGGAGTCTGCGGGCTGGAAGATGTGCTTTTCAATGCTACATTTTATCTTCAACTTGATGTTTGTATGCTGCATTAGAGAGACATTCAGACACTAAATCTCTCTGAGCATCAGTCAACAACAAGGTCAAAGCTCATATACAATATCACAGTAACAGCATCTCGTATAAATTGGGCATGGCACAGGAAATTCTGTAACATTTCTCAATGGAAAATACCAAAATTAGAAGCCACATCCTTATTCAAATCGATAGAGATGTAGGTGTCATATCAGTATGTGAAAGGTCACAGTATTCATTTCTTCCTACACTCTTAAAAATAAAGGTGCTTCAAAAGGTTCTTCAAGCGATGCCATAAAAGAACCATTTTTGGTTCCACAAAGAACCATTCAGTCAAAGGTTCTTTAAAGAACCATCTCTTTCTTACCTTTTTATAACCTGAAGAACCTTTTTTCACCACAAAGAACCTTTTGTGAAACAGAAAGGTTCTTCAGATGTTAAAGGTTCTTTATGGAACCCTTTAGACAACAAGGTTCTTCTATGGCATCGTGAAGCACCTTTATTTTTAAGAGTGTATAGGTCACCAATAAACAATTTTTAAAGTAACAAGCATCAGTTGTTCATAATATTATACAAGGACAAGTTAACAATGAGGAATCGCAAAACCACATGGCAATTAAAAAAAGGAAAACGGAAAAGAGCATGACATGAGAATACAAACATCTTGAAAAAAGAATAATTCATACCTGTGAATGCCCAAATATGAGAACACTAAAACAGTTGCCATTGCAGTCTAAGTGTGCCTGCTCACTCAGCTTCTCTATTTCCCCTGACACTTTCTTGCAGTTTCCTGTAGCACCCTCCATTCAAAGGTTAAGTAATGTGTGTTACGTTGGTGAGCATGTACTTGCCTAAACAGAGAACACTCTTTTCAAGGCTGAGTAGTTATAATGGCTGGATTTCATGTGCACTGTTGCCTTTCTTATTAGGACCTAAAAGGTCTTCAAAACTTTAACAAGAAGTTGTTTTACAAAGTTATGTTAGACTGTGATACTGTGTTATGCTAAACTGTGATGTGTTCAGAGCCAAGGGTTGATGATATGACCCCAATTTGGTGAAGGTTCTCTATTTTCAAACTTACACTTCATATGTTAAACTTTAACTGTGAATGCTTTTGATGTACCTTTTGTTACAAGGCCTTTTGCTTTGATCCAGGGGAATCCAATCCTGGTCCTGTAGAACCAAATTCCTGCAGTGTTTGGCTCCAACTTGTCCCAACTTGAGAAGATTCTAGTAAGCTAGAAGCCCTTGATTACTTGGGTTCAGGTTCGTTTAATTGGGGTTGGAGATGAACTCCAGGAACAGGACTGGACACCCCTGATTTAATGGCAGCAGTACTCAAGCTGCGTTATCTTCACATGTTTGTGTCAGATTTGATGATCATGTTGTCCAGCTTGATTTGAGAAGGATCCAAAGAGCATCTTGCACTTTAATGGAAGTAAATCTGAACTTTTATACGAAGGGGTTCACACGGCCAGTGTCATATATTTGTACAATCTTAAATATTTCTTTGCTTTAAACATTTTTTTTATTATTCTAAATTCAAAATCAGAAAACATTTGCTTTATTTGGAGATTTAAAAGTTTCCTCATAATATATTTCAAACTAATCTATTGGTTTTACAGGTGCATCTCAAAAAATTTGAATATCGTGAAAAAGTTCAGTATCTCAAAAATCCAGTATCTCAAAATATTAGAATATTTCCTAAGATCAATCCAAAAAAAAAAAAAGGATTTGTAAAACAGAAAAGCTCAAGTTCTTTAAATTTTTGTTATTAATTTATGCACTCAATACTTGGTCGGGGCTCCTTAAGCACAAATGACAGCATCAGTGAAGTGTGGCATGGAAGCAATCAGCCTGTGGCACTGCTGAGGCACTACTGAAGCCCAGGTTTCTTTAATAGCGGCCTTCAGCTCATCTGTATTGTTGAATCGACTGTTTTACGGGGTTCAGGTCAGGCATGTTGGCTGGCCAATCAAGCACAGAAATATCATGGTCAGCATACCACTTGGAAGTGGTTTTGTCACTGTGGGCAGGTGCTAAGTCCTGCTGGAAAAGGAAATCAGCATCTCCATTAAGCTTGTCATCAGATGGAAGCATAAAGTGCTCCAAAATCTTCTGGTAGATGGCTGCATTGACTTTGGACTTGATAAAACACAATGGACCAACACCAGCAGACGTCACGGCACCCCAAATCATCACTGACTTTGGAAACTTCACACTGGACTTCAAGCAGCTTGGATTCTGGGCCTCTCCAGTCTTCCTCCAGACCTTGATTTCCAAATGAAATGCAAAATTTACTTTTATTTTGAAAAGACTTTGGACCACTAAGCAACAGTCCAGTTCTTTTTCTCCTTAGCCCAGGTAAGATGCTTCTGACATTGTTTCTGTTTCAGAAGTGGCTTTGTAGCTGTTTTCCTGAAGACGTCTGTGCGTGGTGACTCCTTGTGAAGCTCTCCCAAGTGTTTGAATCGGCTTTGCTGTACAGTATTCTCAAGCTTGCGGTCATCCCTGTTGCATGTGCACATTTTCCTACCCAATTTATTACTTCCAGTCAACTTTGCATTTAATATGCTTTGATACAGCACTCTGTGAACAGTCACCCCTTTCAGTAATGACCTTCTGTGACTTACCCTCTTTGTGGAGGGTGTCTATGATTGTCTTCTGGACCATTGCCAAGTCAGCAGTCGTCCCCATTATTGTGGTTTCAAAGAACAAGAGATACTCGGAATTTATACTGTTGGGATGGTCATTTAATGAAACTCAAATGTAGCCTAAATATTCTAATATTTTGAGATACTGGATTTTTTACTTTCATGAGCTGTAAGCTCTAATCATCAAAATTAAAACAAAAAACATTTGAAATGTTTTAATTTACATGTAATTAATCTAGAATATATGAAAGTTTCACTTTTTGAAATAAGTTACAAAAAGTAACTTTTTAACGATACTCAAATTTTTTTAGATGCACCTGTATGTTTGTCAAACTTTATTTTTATTTTCAGTGCATCCTCAGACTTCTGGGTCCCACTGTGTGTCTGTACACTAAAGGTGACTGAGGACAGTGATTCAGCAGAGATGTTCCCCAGAGACTATGAGCATCCACACTGTGAGCCTTACGATTTTGCTGCTGCCATGTGAACACTAAATTCATAACCATGTGATATAAATAATAGTTTCTAACAAAAAACATGCAATATTGCCGTTTCTTTACAGCATGCAATCACCACACATTGGCTGTTGCTATGTTATCAGTGTAAGTGCAGTGTCTGGTGACAGTAGATGGTCAGAAATAGAAAAAAAAAATGTCAGAGCCATGTCAATAAACATGCAACTCAACATTGTATTGCTTTGTATTTAGTGCTCAATTTAGATCAATGTAAATTTTTATGCATATTTATGCATCTGGTAAAATGACTTGCAATGCATTCTAGTTACTAGAACTATATATTTTATCAGTCCATGCATTCCCTAGGAATCAAACAATCTTGACGGTTCCTAGCATCATGCTCTACTGTTTGAACTATAGGAACTCTAAATAGAACAAGTTTGTTAGAAAATGAGTAAAACCTTCAGTATTCCAGTCCATTAGAAGAATCATTGAGTCATCCAATGCTATTAATCTGGGCCAAAGTCATTGTTACTCTGATATCAAGCGTAACTCTAGACCCCTCATCATCACTGGGCTGGATATACAAAGGATGAAAGAGAGAAAGAACCACATTCCTGACAATCACAGTCCAGTGACAACAAAGAACAATTCGTTCAAGCATATTTCTAAGCGTATAATTAATCTCTCCCTGATAGTGTGTATAAAATTGAAGAATTCCAACAGAAAACACTTCGTAAGACAGGAAGGGCTGCAGTTTAATTTTCAGCAAAATACAACTCCAAACACTTTATATGCCTGTTTTTCTACCACAAAAATATGAACATACCCTTCCTATATAACAAGCACCAGAAAACCAAAGATATCAAACCTAAAACTTACTTTTTTTCTCTGAAACCTATATTTCAATGAACGGATGTGTTTTTAGTTCATACCATATAAGTCAGCGGTCACCAAAATGGTTACCATAATTCCTTAAAAAATTATCTTTCGTGTTCCACACAAGACACTAAGCCATACAAGTTTGGAATGACATGAGGGTGAGTAAATGATGAGAGAGTTTCCAATTTTGGGTGAACTGTCCCTTTAACTAGACCTTGTTACAGAGAAGAAAAGCACATGCTTTGCTTCTAACAGAGAAACACAGCAAGAGAGACTTACCTCAGAATGCTCACTGCAGGGAGGCTACAGCTACAGCAGTCATTGTAGTGTGATGGCAAAGACCCACTGAAGCCAAACAGCCACCGAAAGGCAGAAAAAGAAAGAGACACAGAGAGGGAGGAGGGACAGGAGGTGAAAAAAGGCAGTGATTGGAGAACAGAAAAGCTGTTCTAAAAGTTGAAGCGCACTACCCTTTTACCCTAACCTCTCTCTGTCTCAGTCTCTCTCTCTATCTGTCACACACACATGCTTTTCACTTCCAACCTTGAGGCACCCACTGAGAGCTGTCCCTCCCCCCTCGATTAAGTTTCCTCCTTTAGCACTCTGACAAACATGTGACCAAAGGGACATGACTCAACAATAAGGCTCTGTGGCATTAAATCCAGGAATCATTTGAAAAAGACTGAAATACACACATCCTAGGGCTCTGTTTGGCACCTACGGACATACTTCATGTGTCCATGTATGCTTTTATTAAAGATTGTGCAAAAGTGACAGCTTTGACGAGTATATGCGTGAAATGAACACTCTGAATGAATGGTCTGGGATCAGTACGACAAACTCATTTGATAGCATTTGATGCAAAATATTGACTACCACAAAATTGATTGTGAATTTATTTATTTTGACAAAAAAACATACTTACTAACTGTATAGCATTATATCCAACTTTACAGCCTTGTTGCCATGGCAATGAAACAACAAACTCTAAAATGACTGTAAAGGCCTGTTCACACCAAGAACGGTAACTATAAAGATAACTATATTAGCGTCCACACCAGCGGATGATATTGTCTGTTTGTTCTAAGTGCACACTTGTCTGCTGCTTTAAATTCTCGAGCTCATTATAGCAGGATTGAGTCAGCTGGAAATAATCGTTCTGAAAGTGATTCTAACAATATCGTTTCACTGCGTCTTTATCATTACAGCTGTGCTGTGGACTCTGCTATTCTTTAACAATTTTTAGAACTATATTTTTATCGTTATCTTTATAGTTATCGTCCTTGGTGTGAACAGGCCTTTAAAGGTGTCATATGACGTTGCTAAAAAGAACATTATGTTGTGTATTTGGTGAAATGCAATGTGTTTATGCGGTTTAAGGTAAAAAAAAAAAACACATTATTTTCCACATAATGTACATTATTTTTGCTCCTCTATGCCCCGCCTTTCTGAAATGCATTGATTTTTACCATGCTCATCGTTCTGAGAAGCGAGGTGTGCTCTGATTGGCCCGCTATCCAGTGCGTTGTGATTGGCTGAATACCTCAAGCGTGTGACGGAAATGTTACGCCCCTCACCATACTGTGATGTCGTGTCCCGGCGCGATGAGACAACACCAATAAAACCCATTACAAACGAGGCATTTGTTGCATCCAGTGGGGACATAATTACTGATTATAATGACTTATACTGTCTTTTTACGCGTTGCGTTGAGTATCGCGTATCGCACTGCACAAACATAAAACCATGTCTGCATTTATGATCGGAGAAATGACAAACAACAAGCGCTATTCTACACTGCTTAAAACTCAAGTTTAAATCGTCAGTGGCAAATTCTTCAAATATAAAAAATGTACTTACAGGCTGAGTCAGAAGCGCCAGACTGTCCTTGCAAAGTTGGAACTGCCCCACTTTATAGAAACAGCCTTTGTGCACAGACGCATTGTAGGTTACTCTGCAGGTTCAGGAAACAGTCCTCCATAAAATGCACTGCACACATCTGAATATTTGGGTTGAACTGTTCTGGAACAGTGTTGTAAATACAACTTAACCACTGATTTCTACAAGTGTCCTTTGGAAGGCCAAACAAAGTAGTTTCGCTTTCACAACGAAACACACAGCGCCACACACGCGGGCAAGAGTGAGCTTGAGAACGGCGCGGCAGCGCGGCAGGCCGAAGGAGCATCCGGCGGGCTTGCGGAAACCACATGTGACGACCCCGGGCTGGACTCCGCTTCATCCACACATCCACAGAGCCGATCCGTTGATCCACAGCGTGAAGTTGATGTATTTCCTCAGCGACCAGCACGGATCAGCTCCAGGCATGACGAAGCAGATATTGTCCTCTTTTGGAAGACCAAACAAAGTAGTTTCGCTTTCACAACAAAACACACAGCGCCTTCACGACATGGCGGCGGCAACAGCAATACTACAGCGAGAATAAAAGTTACGCCTTCTTTCTTTGCGTGAACATTTGGTCCTTGTCCTGGCTTACATGTTACAAGAAAACATTACATTCCATTTAAATTGGGGAAAAAAGTTTTATCAGAACTTCTAGCACTCTGTCACCTAACAAAATGAGAAAATCCTAAGTATAAGGCTGAATAAAGTCGGTTTACTGTAGTTACTGGCAATGACATTTGATTTATTTTCCATTCTTTACAGCTCCTCTTGGAATAAAAGAAATTTGAGCTATTCCTCTTGTTTTTCCGCTCAGTGCTGGATGTTCATACACATTATGTAAACTATCATTGACAGTCAGGTTGTACTGAACAACAACCTATATACCTTACAGATATTTTGGGCTTGAATGAATTCTATGTTAAAATAATCTCTTGAATGAAATTTAATAGCCCACTCCCCAAGAGTATTTACCTTTGAAAGCTTGTTTAGGGAATTAGCATAAATTATTTCATTAGACCATCTTCCAAAGACAAAAACGGTTATTTTCTAGTAAAAATACTTAAGACAGTGTAGGGCTGTCAGGGGAAAGAGCATTCTGTGGTGCTTTGATGCTTGGCAGAGTGGGTTAAAGTGAAAGATTTTCATATGTTTTGATTTTTTTTAATACAATTGACTAATTGCAATACATGTTGACCTGTTTAATAACATTGTTTTACTATTTTAAAAAAATGTAATTAAATTAAAAAAAAAAAGATTTTTCACCATACTTGGATGAAAAAGTAAGGATTGCGACATCAAATCCAACTCCAAGGAACCAACATGGGAATGTGACCTGAATGTGCCTGTAGAATTTCACACAATGTGTAACACCTGCAACCAGTTTTGATGTGAACTGTTTGTATATCACACAGTCTGTGAGTGCAGCATTAGGGGAAACACCGCTAATGTTTGTCCTCTGTGATTTATGCTTGCATTAGCAATAAACACACACAGGAGCTTTGTGTTTTCATGTTTTATTCAGAGTTTGAGTTCAGCAAAGGTTCAAGTGATAAGACCCAGTTAGTAGAGATTCAAGGTGTGAGCACATCTGCACTTAAGATAAGCACTTCAAGGTGATTCAGTTATTGCCTTCTGCAAAATCATCCGATATAGAGGTAATTTAAGAGTCTGTAGTAATTTCTTGATATGAACCTAATAGTCGATAACTAGCCCAGAATTAAGCAACATGTAAGGAATATAAAATGTATATAAAAGAACATTATGTTGTGTATTTGGTGAAATGCAATGTGTTTATGCGGTTTAAGGTAAAAAAAAAAAACACATTATTTTCCACATAATGTACATTATTTTTGCTCCTCTATGCCCCGCCTTTCTGAAATGCATTGATTTTTACCATGCTCATCGTTCTGAGAAGCGAGGTGTGCTCTGATTGGCCCGCTATCCAGTGCGTTGTGATTGGCTGAATACCTCAAGCGTGTGACGGAAATGTTACGCCCCTCACCATACTGTGATGTCGTGTCCCGGCGCGATGAGACAACACCAATAAAACCCATTACAAACGAGGCATTTGTTGCATCCAGTGGGGACATAATTACTGATTATAATGACTTATACTGTCTTTTTACGCGTTGCGTTGAGTATCGCGTATCGCACTGCACAAACATAAAACCATGTCTGCATTTATGATCGGAGAAATGACAAACAACAAGCGCTATTCTACACTGCTTAAAACTCAAGTTTAAATCGTCAGTGGCAAATTCTTCAAATATAAAAAATGTACTTACAGGCTGAGTCAGAAGCGCCAGACTGTCCTTGCAAAGTTGGAACTGCCCGGGTTGAACTGTTCTGGAACAGTGTTGTAAATACAACTTAACCACTGATTTCTACAAGTGTCCTTTGGAAGGCCAAACAAAGTAGTTTCGCTTTCACAACGAAACACACAGCGCCACACACGCGGGCAAGAGTGAGCTTGAGAACGGCGCGGCAGGCGGATTCGACGAAGGAGCATCCGGCGGGCTTGCGGAAACCACATGTGACGACCCCGGGCTGGACTCCGCTTCCTCCCCAGTGAAAGCCAATATGGCGATCCCCAGCACAGATCAGCTCCAGGCATGACGAAGCAGATATCGTCCTCTTTTGGAAGACCAAACAAAGTAGTTTCGCTTTCACAACGAAACACACAGCGCCACACACGCGGGCAAGAGTGAGCTTGAGAACGGCGCGGCAGGCGGATTCGACGAAGGAGCATCCGGCGGGCTTGCGGAAACCACATGTGACGACCCCGGGCTGGACTCCGCTTCATCCACAGTGAAAGCCAATATGGCGATCCACAGCACAGATCAGCTCCAGGCATGACGAAGCAGATATCGTCCTCTTTTGGAAGGCCAACCAAAGTAGTTTTGCTTTCACAATGAAAAATACAGCGTCTCCACGACATGGCGGCAGCGGCAACAACAATACTACAACAAGAATAAAAGTTACGCCTTCTTTCTTTGCGTGAACATTTGGCCGGTGTTATGCAAATCTTCCCACACCGTGACGTAAACATGCGGGGGTGTGTTTAAACGAGGCGTTTTAGGAGGGCGTGGACAAGTCTTAACTTTTATAAAGAATATCTCTTTAGGTTTGAGACTTTAGTCTTTGCAACTTTAGGGATCTTATCTATTCACGAACAGTTTGTAACACTCCAAAGAGAAAGGAAAATTTGAAATTGCATCATATGAGCCCTTTAAGGCTAATTTAAACAGCTTTACAGCTTAAATACACAAGTGTTAACACAATAATTAATGTACGTCCATTTATAAAATTACAGGCTTCACATTTCTGCTTTTAAATCCTCCATAAATTGGCCCCATTCACTTCCTTTATAAGTGCCTCATAGTAAAGGCTCGTTCACACCAAATACCATAACTATAAAGATAACGATAAAGATATAATTCTAAAAATAATTCTCAATATTTAAGAATAGCAGAGTCCACACTACAGCTATAATGATAAAGGCACAGAGAAACAATATCATTGGAATCACTTTCAAATAATTTTTTTCCAGTTGACGAATGATAAAAACATTGACACCCAATCAGAATTAAT